TGATTGAATCATTGTCCAAAAATGAGAATTTTTTAGGCACACAAAATTGTATTCTGCTACAGGTTTTAAAATCATGGCAATAATTGTCAATCATTTTGGAACCTCAGGGGCATGCAATTATGTATGTTCAAGAAATAGTTGTTTTGGAAAATGTTTAATTTGCCCATACTATAAATATAGAGTAGTATTTGAGGCTCATGAATTGAAAAGATGAGAAATTTGTTATGATTTGTTTTATTTATTGACAATGTCGATTGTATCGATTTTGATTGTATCACACATTTCATGAAACAAAAAATTGTTTTCAATGGTTGTAATTGTAAAGAAATCTAATACTTACAGAAACTTTAGTAGAGAATGCACTATTAGCCTATAGAAATTTTTTATATCAGTTTTATATAAATGTATTGTAAATAACACATTTGCACTTGCACTGGTCATATGAACACAAATCTTATGAATTTGTACATTGTAGATTTTAAGAATTTTTTTTAAAAGAATATATATAAGTATTGGCAAATTATTTACACTAATTGCAATTTTCCTGCCTGTCAGTCATTCAAAATTACAATAGAGGAATGGTGATTGACATTGACAATGCATTGTCTGAAACCTAAACAGTCCCATGTTCCATTATTACAATAATTACCAATCCTCTACTGCAAATTTGATTGGTTGTCCATAATGTTCAAGCACAAGGAACAAATACACTGCTTCTTACAAACATCACAACAAAGGTGGAGTGGGTTAATGTATGCATCCTGTTCGTAATCGAGCGATTTCAGCAGTAACTTCCTAAGACATATATTGTCACTTGAGCAAAACTCACGCATATCATCTTGCATGCCCACCCTATTTTTTGCAATGTCCTTGTTGTTGTAGTGCAAGTGAGCTGATGAAGGTTTGCCATCTCTGCCAGCACGTCCTGTCTCCTGGAAATAGGCCTTTACAGTACTTGGAGGCCCAATATGAATGACCTGACGAATGTTGGGAATGTCCACACCCATCCCTATAGCCAGTTGCAAAAACCACACGAATAGTACTCTGTCCAGAACAAAGCTGTTTTAAAATTTCATCTTTCATTTGTGTGGTTTGAGGGGCATGAAATTGTGCAAACAGCCGGTTTGCTGGGATTGAAGCAGATCTGGGAGGAAAATATTGTTCAGCACCAAGAACATGTTCGAACATCCTGTACACAAACCCACATAATCGTAATGGTACATAAACAATTGTTAATGGATAGTTTATTTTCTCCAGTAAAAGACCCTTTGCTATCGGTATTAAAATTGATTGAACTGTATCAACATCTTGACCATGTCGAAAGGTTTTTTGGTAGAAAATATTTTTCCGATCTGGATTGGCAGTGACACACTTACAATTCTTTAGTCCTAATGAATCCTGAATATATTTAATGTCAGTCTGACTTGCTGTTGCTGTCATTGCAATTACAGGCACATCTGGGAACAGTGCACACAGCACTCCTAATCTGCCATAATCCTTTCTGAAATCACTTCCCCTGCAATGAAATTGAATGTATTAAACTTAAGCTTCACATTGAGCACATTATATTGACATAAGGCTTAATTTCTGAAAAACTACTTACAGTATTTAAAAATTGATCAGCCTAGATTTTTATAATGCGATCCTAGCATGAAAATCAGAAAACACTTTTAGAAACGTAACTTGATAGTTGATACTAACCAGTCTAATATACAATGAGCTTCGTCTATAACGATTGCAAGGACATTTTCTTGGTATATTTCGCTTAACAATAATTCGCGTCCATATTTGCTTGAAATAAGTGTTTCTGGATGCGCAAAGACAATGTTGTATTGACCATCGCGTAACTTTTTATCTTCACATTCGCTGAAGTCAACATCTATATTTTGGTCTTGAGAGTCGTCGTCAAATTGTTCCCTTCTCGATTCTTTTACACCAACAATAGACGCTCGAATGCCACTCATACTTAGACGCGATACTTGATCACTCATTAGGGAATTTAATGGCGATACAACAATGACAATCGAGGTAACTAACATCTTAGAAATACCTCTCGGTGCTCGGATTAAAGCGTCACGCAAATGGTATTTTGCAAAGAGGAACAATGGCAAAAGATGAAAAATTAAGGATTTGCCATAACCGGTCGGTAAAACACATACCACGTCCTTCTTTAGATACAAGCTCTCTAGACAAATAACTTGCTTTGGTTTCAGAATAGTTTCTAGGTATAAACTATTTAAAACCGCAAATTCTACACACGATAAGAAGGCAATGTAGTCCAGCATGGCGGAAACGCAACAGAAATTGCCGTCAAGTGGAAGTTTGTAATATGACACTTCGCCCACACCCCCTAAGGCGATGAAATTTTGGGGGCTCACGTGACCAGCCGCAGCCAGGGTCTTTACTCCCCACCACCACGAGTAAAGACCCTGGGTACGAGGTTGTAACTTTACATGTCAAACTCTTCGCTCGTTGATCAATCATCTCGGTCGGGTTCACAAGAGTGATCGGGATTTCCATGCGCTATGTGGCATTAATGAATGTCCACGTACGTACACGAACTATTTCTCTCTGCGAAACCATTTTGTCAACAAGCATAGTCAAGTACTTCAAGCAGAGGAAGTTGTTGAACGAGATCCACGTGCCAACGACGAGGGAGATGAACTTGACGTTTATAATGGTAAAAACGATGACGATGATTTTTTCGTCTTTGTTTGCGAGGTCGAGAGTAATCAACGATCAAATGTATTGGGCTTAATCAAGGTCAAAGAGGAAGGCAAGGTACCCCAAACGATTGTCAATTCGATGGTGCAACATACCACCCAGATTGTCGAGAACAGCGTCGATGCACTTCAGTCTGGTCTCTCGCAATGTTTATCGAATGCGGGTTTGTTTACCAAAATACGCATAAGTTTGTTTACCAAAAGTTGTTCAGTACAGTCTGTATATATATATATATATATATATAATATATATATATATATATATATATATATATATATATATATATATATATATATATATGTATATATCCAAATATCCAAATAATTGACTGTAACAAAAAGATCACAGAACTTGACAATGGTTGGAGAGCGCTCAATACCATTACTGGCAGAGCGATAATATATATTTATTGAAAGACTAGCTTAGCTACTCGGAGTTTCACGCTATAAAGCGATCATCAGGCTAATGGCAGGTCTGGTTGCTATTCTCTATATTTACATCGTGATATAAGGTGTCGAATTACGTGTCTACATTTCGTAAAGAGTTCAGAGCGTTTGTTCAGCAGTGTTCTAGTTTTGTCTTTCATGATATGGAGTTTCTCCTCAAGGCAGAGGTTGCATCTTCTTGAACCGGCTTTGTAGGCTGGGAATATATATATATATAGTTGTTTCAACTCTAAGGGTAGTTTCGACTGGGGTCAAAACGACTCTACAATAGAGTCTTGTTACTCTACCAAAAGGTAATGTTACTCTTCGAAGGAGTCAATTTGACTCTAATTGCAAAGAGTAACCGAACTACGAAAATTACCGTTTCGTCTAATTTATAATTATGCAAACGTTGTTTTGTTGATATACTGGTTGCGCCCAATCACACTGATCAGTGATCACACACGGCAATAATTTTCAATTTCACTGAGGCAAACAGTTATACAGTATTTATATAATCATGCACATGCACAGCGAAATCGAGAATTCTTACCTAGAATAATGTTCTTGAGAAATTCTTATTTTAAGCAAAATTTTGCTCAAAATATGTAAAAGGGGATAAATTATTCTTATCAAGAATGAATTTTACTTGAATAAGTAAACTTTTTTTAAGCAAGAATAACCGTTTCTTAAAACAAGTAAATGTTCTAGCTTGTATTCTAACTAAGAATTTTGGTATTCTTAAAACAAGGAAGGCGTCTTTGTGGATTCTTGGCAAGAAACATTGTTAACTTAAAACCGGCAATCAAAAACGCTTGTTGCCAATTCACTTGCCAAGAATACTAATTTCAAACAACCAATTTATTTCAAACAACCAAGAATATTTTTACATTCTTACTAAGTAACATTTAATAACCGAGCAAAGATTCGCAAGTTTCGTTTCATATGCAGACGAAATGAAGGTTTTAATGCCTATTTAAGCATTCTGAATGGACGTAGTTCGTTTCTTATGAAAATATATATTTTAAACTTCGCTAACTGCAACTGGCGGAAAGAACTGTGGATTATTGTGGATTACTGTGGATAGGATTTACTGGACATTATGTCGCAAAATTTCCTGCAGAAGATTGCGCAGATTGTTTTAAAAGTGGCTGGGAATCTCAGTCTTCTAAGAGGTAAGGATTTAAAATTATACGCGCAAACAGACGAAAGCTATTTTTGAATTTGCCGCGTAAACAGTAAACGTATTTATAAACAATAAACAGATATATTCACAGTTTTAATACTCATCATTCCCGATAAATGAACGACGTTTATATAAATATATTATAACGTGGTTATACTATAGGCACTATGCCATAAAAAGTGTACGTGATATTGACGTTAGCTATAAAACCATGGTCAAATTTTAGCTGAAACATTTGTACTCAATCTTAGGATCATGATATACTGAATCTTGGTTACTGGATATACATAAGTTTTGATTAAGAATTAGGATGAAATAACTGTTTTATTGCCTTTTAAATTTTTTTATATGCATTCTTAGATGGTGGATTAACAAGTGGTGATGTTTATGTCTAAACCTGTAATGAAAGAGGTCTCATTGGAAAGTAATATCTGTGGTAAGTAATGCATTATAAGGAATTGTGCAATGCTGTTAGATTATTCACCTAAGCATATGGCTTAGTTTTTAATGTATAATATAATATACCGGTAATTATATACTTATTGACCAATTGATTATATACTTATTTATCATGTAATAGATAAAAGGAAAAATCATTGACAGCTTACCAGATGACTACCCTTTATGCCTAATTTTATATCTGTCAGAGCATGCAAAACTGTGCATAGCATCCCCAATCATATATTTCACACATATTATGCACTGCTTAGTTTCTTTAACATTTGTTATCTTAACTCTGATTTCTCAAGTATGCTTGCCTTTTTGTTTTATTAGGAACATGGATTGAGGTAGTGAGCAAGAAATTCAGTGGAAAATTTGCTATACCAATGGTTAATTGGACCCACAGTGTTTCAGCACTTAATTTTCAAGGAAAAAAATACTCCAGGTGATCTTATAAATATTTTCATGTTTGGCATGATATACAAAATTTAAGAACAGCTGGTCAATAATCAAAGGGAAACATTGCTCAGGAATGAATGACTTTAGCTTATGTGTAATAATTGAAGACATGCAGTGAGTTTGCATAGATGTGTTTGTCTTCTTCCATGAATATTTTTATTCAACTACTTCATACAAGGGCTTAATTTCATTATCTGAGCTCTATCGGATACTTTCCTAAACTTGCCAATTGGCAATTTTTAATTAAGTCCTTGAAAGACTTGTTTATTTGAGCAAGGTATTGCACAAACCTAGCAGTACTTTGAAAAAACTATTTCTGTCAGATGTAAATGTATGGCATTTATATATTTAGTATGGCCACTAAATAAGTAATTTTAATATTTTGAACTAAAATAATGTATAAGAATAATGTATCTGTGATGTTTCAAAGCCAGCTAATAAACTTAATTACTAGAAATGTTTTCTTTTGTCTAAAAATTTTGTACTTATTATAAGTAAAATTATTCTTGTTTTAAGTAGTTTTTTTTATTTGTAACATTCTAGGTAAGAATTGTGTGAGTAGGTTCCTTAATATGCAATAATAATTTTGCTTATTTCAAGCAATGTGTTACTTAAAACGAGTATTTTTTCTTTAGAAAATTCTTGTTGCAAGAATTGTTTTTCTTAAAATGAGATTCCAGGTAAGAATAATATTCTTGCCTGGATTCTTGCCAAGAATAATATTCTTACTATACTGACAAGAACAATTTTACTTGTTTGTATTTTTTTTCTTAAAATAAGACTCACGATTTTGCTGTGTGCATGTATTATGGATTTGGCTTGATTTACATGAAATTAGGTTATAAATTATACAGGGACTGAAAAGCGTAAACATGCAGTGCTTCCACTTCCAACTCTAGGCCTTTATGTAATGTGATTTATTTACGCATAGATATATTGCCAGGCATGAATTTTGCATACCCTTTCCGCAGCTCAGTTTTCTGAGCATCAATAATGACACATTAAATTTTACGCCGTTTTGGGATAATTTTGGCTAGGAGTAATGGTTCTCCTAGCCGCTTTATTTCTGTTAAACAAAACGATATTTATTAATACATTGCATTAAAATTCCAAATAGTTACGCTCAGAAAAGGGTGGAGGCAAATTACCGCCAAAACAACGAAGCAAAGCAAGTTGACCCCACCCCAAGGAAAGGGATGCATGCAGAAAGTTTCAGAAAGTTTCGTAATACATTAATACAGGATCAGCGGTCTGCGCGACCGTATAAACGAACATGGGCAAAAAGGCACTTACAAAGCCCGTTAAAAGGCATAGATTATCGCCCTTGCTGATAATCTACACTTAACTGATATTAGTTTAGCAGAGTCACAATATTACCGCGCCCAGAAGAAGCTTCTCCATCACCCTGTTATAAGCACTTTATTCCCCCCCCCCGGAATGCAAACGATCGCCCTTGCTGACCATGTGCAAGCTGAGGAAGAAATAAAATAACCGCACAATTCGAGCAGAAAACTCCCCGCACGTTTTACGCTCGAAAATTCATCCAAACTATGTTGATAGGGAAGAAAAACGTATATATTTGAGGAATGCGTTCGATTTCCAACGCCCCATAGTTCGAATTTGGGCATCAGAGTGCCCGTGTTCAGCTGCGTGGGAAGCGGCGCCTATTCGAAATGAATGAGACTTATATTTGGAAGTATCGAGTCCACAGAAGCGGAAAGCCTTTTTAAGAAGATTGGCAAACTCGTCACACGAGACTGGAATGCCCAGTTGTGATA